ATAACATGACACACTTGAGCACTTACCCACAGTTCATGTCGTTGTTTGCCATTTGGATTTGAGCTTCGCAAGCTTAACTGCAAACTGAACATAGATCAAGTCGCTAGCCTTGTCGATCCATCGGAAGAAAGTGAATCTGATGGCCTGCTTCATGATGAGCGTGCCAATAAACAGCCAAAAGCCAACAACAAATCCAACCACAACACTGGTGTACTCCAATAATTTTTCGAGCTTCTCATCATCTTCATGTTTAACTCTAGCGTCAGGTGGAGTTTGATAAACAGGGCAAGCTGGCAGTGGCGTACCGCAAAGGTCTTTGTTACCCACATATGTCCACAAGTCAAAGGTCGACAATTGACCACTCGTTGGTATTTTTCCTGATAAGTTGTTGTAAGATAGATTCAAACGAGCGAGGAAATGCATTGAAGAAAAGCTCGAAGGTATCTCCCCTGTGAGACTGTTCACTGATAAGTCAAGCGATTCCAATAGTGTCATGTCACCCATCTTTTCTGGAATCCTTCCCGTCAAATGATTCTTGGATAAGTTTAGGAAGCGCAATCCAAGAAGTTTTGTCAATTCTTTTGGGATTTCACCAGAGAGATGATTATTTGACAAGTCTATGCATGTCATCAGCGAGAGAATGGTTGTGTAAGTAACATTTAATCCTTTTATGGTTATTAAGATGCTCTCGGTATAATAATAGGTGATGACATGAATCATTGACCTAGTATCATTTTGTATCTCAACCATGGCGTTGAAATTTCCTAGAGATGATGGTAGACTACCGGTTAGATTGTTGGAAGAAAGATCCAATACCTGAAGAGAAGTGAGATCCACTATGTTCTCAGGAATAGTACCATATAATAAGTTTGACCTCAGACAAAGAAACTTCAATGACGAGAGGTTTCTTCCCATCCATGTTGGTATTTCGCCATGCAATTTATTTTCACCAAGATCAAGGGTAACTAATTGGTTACAATGTTTCAAAAATGAAGGAATTGTTCCGGATAGGTTGTTATTATTTAAATGCAAAGATAGTAGAAAGGTCAAAAATGAGTTATAACAATCCGGAATTTCCTCAATTAAGTGATTGTTAGATAGGTCGAGGACTTCAAGTGGATATATATTGCAAAAGAAGGGAGACAGACTATCATTGATATGATTATGAGACAAAGATACTAATTTGAGGTTTGTAGCTTCTGTGAAGTCTAATGGAATAGGTCCCACAAATGAGTTATTAGAGAGATCCAACATGACTTGGGGAGCAGAAGGTAATCGACCAGTCAAATAGTTGGAGCTCAAGTTAAGATTGTTCAAACCTTTTGAGAAATTTGAAAACCAAATAGGGAGGCTTGAGACCCCAACTCCAGATAGATAAAGTCTTTGCAATTGATGTTGAGTCTGAATCCAATCAGAAAATTTTGCTCCTATATGACAAAAGCTCATATCGATACTCACCGAAGGTAATTTCCATCTTGTCGTGGCGTGAGGTTGGAGGGATGTCATCCATACTCACCGAAGCTTCTATCATGTGGCTGAGACGCAAGTCGAAGTCTTGCATTTTTATCGTGTTCCTCGGATGCAAACCTATGTGAATGAGACATAAATCTGATGTCATTGAGAGTTGATTGATTAATATGATAGATTTGGGTGTTAAAGATTTAGATGTGAATAACTTAACTGTTAAATAATAATCAACTCACGATAAAGATGTGAGAGTTAGAACAATAACCAAAGTTGACCAATCGACTTTCTCTTCTTTACAACTGTTGCAATGAGATTAAGCGACGGACCGACGACAAAGATCGATGAACAAATGTTTTGTCGAAGAAGAACTTTAGTTCGATTTGGGCTCATTGGTCAGAGTAGCCATAGCCTAGGGCATCCAAAGTGGCCAATGAAGTTAAGTTTCTCTTTAACTTACGAATGTGCCATACCTTTACTAAGGTTCTTATAATCATGTCGCGTCTTGATTTTAACTTATCCTGTTTGGATGATCTAACACGATGAGTTCTTCCCATAAGCGTATCTTTTTCTTCTTGGGTGAGTTCATAAGCGGAGAACTAACATCGATGTTGTATCATATGAAAGGAACATATGGAGTCCAAAAGCCACCCATCCTGTGGCCTGGTGACATATGTAGGCCATATGAAAGGAACATATGGAGTCCAAAGGAACATATGCACGAGGCTTTAGCATTTTGATTGTTGCTTTTTTTTAAAAGCTCAACAGTCTGATTTGATGTGGCCCTTCCTTTTGCAATAGTAGCACCGAATGTTCTTTGATCTAGATTTGGCTATAGATTTACTTCTGTCTCCTTTCCTAAACTCTACATCTCTCCATGAAGTTTAAAGCTTCAGCATGACTTTTGGAGGTTTCCACTGTCAACTAGAAGTCTATAACTTCTTTTGACACTAGGGTTAAAATCATAATATCTAGAGAAATGGTACTCTTTCAATATAAAATTATTTTCAAAAAGTTTTTATATAAAAATAATAATAACAGGACTTTGTCTTCTTCTTCGATGACAACATTCATATTCTCAAAATCTATCAATTTTTCTTGTGAGAGTCTTCTACTAATACATGACTGTTGCTTTGGCTCAAACTTTTACCGTTGTTTGTTTTGTGGCAATATCGTAAAGTGCTTCATTGGATATACACATAAATAAAATTGTCATAACACTTTGATCAAATTCTACTTTTTCTTCATTGATGGTGTTATGATGTTTCTCCTTTATTCAGATAGTCTTCATCTTTACCGTCTATAGAGAGTAGTTGATGTTTCGATCCACTTTTTTTATCTTATATCTTATGCCTATCGATGAAGCCTGGTAATATGATAATCTAGTAAAGAGGCTCAAATACCATATGTTGAAATGATTAGTAGATTACATAGCTATACGATATAAATCATGAAAAAATTGAATGATTAGATACAAAACAAAGATGAGTGATTTAACATGGTTATAAATATTAAGTCCGTCCATGAGAAGAAAAAAAAAAATCCCAATAAAAGACTTGAATCATACGAGTGTTGCAACACTGACTTCCTTAAAAAAAACATCTAAAATTTACCAAATAAACCAAAAATACAAAATTACCCCTGTTCATCAATGTTGATCAGCGTTGACCAGTCAAATTCCTCTTCTTCCTCTTCTCCGCAGGTGCTGCAATGAGCACAGTGACCGGCCGGCGACCGGACTTCTCGCCGGAGAAGAACTTTGGTCGGATTTGGCCTCCTTACTCACTTCTCCTCTCTTCCTCTCTCTCCTTGTTCTCTCCTTCGCTTCCCTCGCTGTTGTTCCCCAAAGCTCCATTTGTAGGAGCAAGGGAAGGTGGAGGGCTCGCCGCCTGCGAGCGGAGAGGTGCGACTGCGGCGGACGAATTCGGCGACTGTGGCTGCGGGGGCTGGTGAGGGCACACGGGGAGGCGTCGATGAAGACAGCGGGCTGCGGCTGTTGGTCATTAAATATGTTGAAGCAATTAACGTTGGTTGACCAAAACCACTCAAGCAGGAATTCTGATTACCAAAGAAAATATTTCTTGAGATGGTTATCCAATTTTCAATCTTTTAGCACCCGATTGATAGGCATAAGACGTTTATACTCTCATCAAATGTTTTGGACAAGTTTCCTTGGTTGGACACAAATTTATTTTGAAAAAAATAACCATGTTTCGGGTAAAAAAGAATTCCTAAAAAATTAAGAATAATTTAAAGAAAGAGTCGCATGGTCATTGGTATCTATAAGTTATTGTATGATATGTTCAAAATTTTCGAGTGATAGAGTCTACCAAATGTCTCTTGTATTCGTCTAAGTTGTATAACTTAAGATCTTGAAATGTAATGGTTTCTAGTATACGTCAAGAAATATCATTTTGAAGTAAGATTAATACATTGAGATGGATGAGAGAACCCAAAGTATGTGGAATACTTCCGACGATATTGTTGGATGATAAATCTAAGTATTCTAAGTTGATGAGGTTCCCGGATCTAACGTGGTGGTAATTGTCCAGTAATAAAGTTACTTGATGATAAGGCATATTTTGGGTCCTAGATACGTCATGATCGATGTCATGCCGTGCTACAACCGAGTCAACAAGGGGAGCACCCCCACGCGCCAAGTCAGAATTCGTACCAAGGCGTTGTTTGACATGTCTTGGCCCGGAAGCTCGGGACGATGCTGGCGCCATTTTGCGCATCCCGGGACAATAGCCGCACAAAGGTACCATCTCATCCCTCGAGGATCGGCCACCATGCTAAACCCAAGTACGATCGACCCTCGTACAGTAGTATAAAAGCCTTTGGCTGGCATCCGGCCAGGGAGAGAAGAAAAAGGAGAAAAACAACTACTGACTTGCTCATCGGAGGGGCCAAAGTCGGGAATCACCCGACGAAGGTCACTCTTGCAGGAAAGCAGTCACCCTCGAGCCACAAGCGTCCCGATCGGGGAGCTACCATCAAGTGTACGAAGGCGAGCCGCTAACCAGCCCAGAGACAAAGAGATGCTGCTCAACATCAATGGTGCATGGACCGAGAAACGTTGATCAACACCCCGTCGCGAGGGCCCGACCGACCTCGGCATCCAGCTCAACCGACCGAAGACTCCCGACATCAACCCGTGGACAAGCCGTACTTACTCATCAACCACTTACTGTGTTTCCCCATGCTCAGTGATACCTTTCTAATGATAGAAGTAGCATACAAATCTAGGTACCCCAATTGGATAAAATCTCCCACAATTATTGGAATTTCTCCACTGAGAAAGCTTGGTCACAGAGAGATTGAAGTAGCATATAAAGAGAAAGCTTGGTTTGATTAATTCTTTTGATTAATCCATTTGGTTCATCAAACTAAGGCATGATTTGAATAGTTAAAAGGGTTGGAGAGATTGAAGAGATCTGACAACAGAACAGCAACTTCCAAGGCCATAGAAAAATACTTTGAATGGTTAAATTCATTATGAATGCATGAGCAAGGCTTCATGGCCATTCTGATATCTGCTTATTTAGATATATTGAACATAATCACACTTTGTTCTCAGCTGGAATCCCCTGAAGCACTCACTGAAATCAATTTCATGTATAAGAAGGATGGAGTTATGATGCTTCCACTGGAGCAATTCTCAATTCATAGTAATATGTTGCATATGTTATGACAACTCATTTGCCCTCCTGTGGACCATTTGTTTGTTTCTGGAAAAGAAGCAATAAGTGATGCAGTCAATTTAGTTTCACCGCACTAAAGACCAGCAGCAAGTTGCCAATAGATTTAAGACTCTAAAGAGACTACAACAATTACATGAAACATAAATACAGCATAACATGAAGAGGATGACATGAGCTTGAGTTGCTTAGTGATTCTTCAAGTCATTCTTCGCCATTTGCACTTCGGTTCCTTCAGCTTTACTGCCACCTGCACATAGATCCAATCACAAGTCCTGTCGATCAACTGGAACAGAGCAATCCTGATGCCATGTCTCAGATGTTATCTTTAAACAATAA